AATAGCAACTAAACTAGTTGAAGCTTCTTACCACTAACTTGCCTTTGAGTTTTATTATTGTTGTCATCATTAAGAGTACATTAATACTCTTGATTTTATTTTACTTTTTATTTCAAGTTGTTTAATTGGATCTAGATACGTGGGCGTAGGGTTATTGGAATGGGTGGGGCTCATTTTTGATTAATCAAGATGTCTTCAAAATGAGCTTCAATTGTTAAATGATTAGTTGAAGCAGAGTACATTTCCAGCCACCAGGAAGAGGAAAAGGAAGGAATAAAAAAGAAAGCAGGTGTGTTTAATAATTTATTTACTATGATTGGCTTTTGTATATGGTCTCAGGCCAATTTTTGTCAAATGTGAGGTGAGAATTATCCATTTTTATATTTTTCTGATGTATTCAGGGTACATAAAATGTTTGAGCTGATTCCCATCAAAATTAAATTTTTTAGGAATTTTTAAAAATTAGGCCAAAGACCAAAGTACAGTGTGTTGAGCCAAAATTAAAAAAAAATATTCTCCATTTTTATAATTTTTATACATATGCATATACTTATCTTGCCTAGAAAATTTGAGCTAATTCTGATCAAAAATCTATTTTTTTTACAAATTTGTTAAGTTGCTTAAAAATCAAGCCAAAGATCATGGGCTATAGTACAGGGTTATTGGCCAAATTTTGCCAAAATAAAAAGGAAAGAATTGATTTTTATATTGTACTTATGTTGCTTAGAAAGTTTGAACTGATTCCGATCAAAAATGAATTTTTACAATAATTTTATTTCTTGAAAATTTGACCAAAAACCATGGAATAGCACAGGGTTTTGAGCCAAATTTTGCTGAAATTGAAAAGGAGAAAATTTTTTGTTTTATAATTTTTTCTGATACATATACTCATACATACATGTACAATGTATGTTGCATAGAAAGTTTGAGCTAGTTCTGATCAAAAATGGATTTTATACAAATTTTTTAGAATTTCTTACAAAGTTCCTGTACTATATACAGGGTCTTGATTTTGCTGAAATTGAAAAGGAGGGAATTCTCCCTTTTTATAGTTTTTTTTCTTATACATACTCAACCAGCTACATGTAAATGCTAGCTACCGTATAGCTAGTTATTTTTGAGGATAACAAATTTCGTGGATTTTTCGAGATTCGCGAAATTAAATTCCTTGAAAATCATTGATATGGTACAAGATGGCAGAATAGTGGAAATTCATGAAAATTAATTCTGCGAACTTCCAGATATGGGTCATTCGCGAAATTTATGATCCTCAAAATAAAATGGCTATACGGTATTTGTTAGGTTATTATCACTTGTTAAGGTAGTATACTGGGATTTGATTAAAGTTCTCTGTCAATGATGAGAAGTGAAGTTCCTCTTGTTGTATGTTCTCTGTCTTTTATACTCTTCGTGTCTGCAATAGGATATTGTGCTGACATCACTCCTCAACTGATGAAGACTCATGAAGTATCTGTCAACATTCAAGTATCATACGGAAAGGCCACCACTGACTGTTCTCAGTAGTAGCAAAGAACCAAATAATAATCAGCCTAAAACTGGAGGAGTGGATTTCACTCGCTAGGGGAAGAAGGTCTGTCTTGATGATACTGGAGCAGAACTGGTGTATGAAGAAATAACTGGAGGTAGTAGCTGGGATCATCCACACAGGAATGATGTGAGTTTTATTCACTTTTTAACATACTTAATTGTGCTCAGATAACTCACTTCTGTGCTAAAATAAAATATTTTTGTTTGTTATAATTTGGGACATCAAAAATGTGTCATTTTAACACATTAGTTTTTTTGTGTGTGAGCCAACTATGCATGTCTGCTTACGAAAAACTCCTCAGCACTTGAGTTCTCATGTATCCCCATACTATTCTCTTATGCATGGTACTAAGTATCATGATCATTGTGGCATATTTTCAGGTACACACAATCACAACTGATCCTCCTTGTCCAGTCTGCTATATACAGCTATAAAGAAGTCAAACTGATGATTATTCCTATAGCTGTCTCTATTCATGAGTGGATTCTAGAATACAAAGGTTGCCTGATGTCTGAAAGAGATGTTCACAAGAGAAATGCTGTCTTTGAATGCGTTGATGAAAGCACAGAGTCTATTGATGGTAGTGGTGTTGATAGCTAATGGTGCTATGTTCTTCTTCACCTTGACCATGCACTTGCAACTGCTTACCTTGTCTGTCTTATGTCAATAAATGCCTATTACTTGTGGTTGTATGTACCAAATAATTGTTTGATGTTATTGAATATGCCACATTATTTGAACTGTACAGAGTCTTGCAGTCGTCACTATTATTAATATTTTTTAATGTTTAGAAACACTGATCTACTGTAAGTTTACTACTGTAAAGAGTCATGTCGTTAATATCATAGTAATCTTAATTGCTGAACTGTCTGACTGATAATGAAATAGAACTGAACCTCAGTCCATTCATTTGAGGGAATACTATCAGTTTACTGTAATGCATACAGTAACCAATTCTATAAGATAATATCTAAACTCTGCCCTTAGTGGTTTTATGAAAATGGCTTCTAATGGGGAGCAAGATCAAGATTCGTCTGCTCCAGTTGCTCTAGTCACTGGTGCTTCTGGTTTCATTGCATCACACATAGTCCAACAACTCCTCAAAGCTGGTAATGTTCGTGTAAGAGGCACCGTCCGGTCTCTAAAGACAGAGGAGAAGGTCGTCCCGTTGCTGGGAATGGTCCCTGATGCTCGCTACACACAAAAAAGAATGTGCTGTTTTAACATGGTGGTGCCCAGCTAAATTAGCACAGAGTATGCTATATGAAGAATCTAGCACACAAACCTGCTATTCTAGCACAACACAGTGGCTGAACTGCCATCATGGTCATTTTCAAGTTGTAGCACACACAAACATGCTGTTCAAGCACTGTATACATACTGTTTTAGCACCATACACATGCTAGACTAGACCAAACTGAAATGGGCGTAGTTTTAAAGGTTTAGCAACAACCACATGAACTGTGATGGAGCTCTCACACAAGCTATTAACTAAGCCTACACAATGAGTGAGTATCTAATAGGACTTTATTAAACAATTATATTAAGTATAGTAATATTTATTATTAATTTAATAGCTTAATTAGAGTCAGTTTTGTGCATGTCTATATACATGTAAGTATATGATATCGATTGATAGATCTAGTCACCTCAAAGTGAACCTATTATGGGAGAACAATGTAAAC